GTATACATATGCCGCATAATAAGTGATGTTTCTTTTATTATTTTTTCTTTTATTATTCTATTCTTTTTATCTTTATTTTGTTTTTTTTTATTACACATGGTGTGTTTTATTAGTAGAAGACTATAAAAATTTATCTCTTTTTTTGTATGTTTTTGCATGAAATGAAAAACATGCATTTTAAAATAGGTTTAATGTTTCGGTTGTGTTTACAATGAAATAGGAAAACGTTAGAAAGCAGTATGCTTTTCGACCTGGCTTTCAAATTGTGCTAAGGCTACTGTAAAATCAATGTTCTTAATCTGAAGTTCTTCAGTCTCTTCATCTGTGATGTGTAATGTTCGACGACTTTGCAAATCTCGCTTCGAGTCAGAATGCGTTGCTCGTCGAACTAGTTGTTCAATATGTGGTCCAGTCATTCCATGAGTTCGTTGTACCAATCGTTCAATATTAATGTCGTCCGATAATAAAGAATTTTGTAATAGTGTTTTCGTATAGATGTTAAAAATATCTGATCGACCTTTTGCATCCGGTTCTCCAACTTCGATTAATGTATCTAGTCGTCCGGGACGATAAAGAGCAGGATCGATGCTATCAATCATGTTGGTTGTTCCAATAATTAGAGTATTATCCAAGTATCTGATCCCATCGATCTTTGTTAGAATTTGGGTGGTTATACTATCGTAAGTAGAATTACGCTGAGGAGAGGCTTCTGTTGACCTTTTTTTTTTTTTACATATGGCGTCGATTTCATCAAATATAATGAGATGAAGTGAACTATGTGACCCATATTTTTCCTGATCGGAGTGAGCTTCTTCAAATAAAGCTCGTACTTTTGCCTCTGACTCACCGAGAAGCCAGTTGAATAGTTCGGGTCCACTTACAATTTTTGGAGGTACATTGAGAATATTAGCAACTGTTTTGGTAATTAATGTCTTTTCGGTGCCTGGTGGTCCATAAAGAATAAAACCACGTGGTTTTATAAGACCAGTTAGATCAAACAAAAGATCGAGGATAAAATTTTGAAAGAAGTACATCACTAAAAATCCTTTCTAATACATCATCGAGACCTTCAACTCGTTCTGGATATTAAAATTCATTGTTAAAAATAGATACAATTGATAAGGGTGGCGGATTCGGTGTATAAGATAATACGCAATAACGATGTCATTTTTTGAGATGGTACTTTTTCAGTTGTTGTCGAGTCAAAGCGACACATCCAGATGGTACTAAAGAATAAAATCCTTGATCAAAAACATGTTCACCATGTTTATTAATAATTTTTATTTGATTGCTTTTAAATAGTTCGCGATCTGTTGAATTCAAAAATGCAAAGTTGTTATCACCGTCGTCATTGAACAGAAAAGTATTTTCAACAAATAGTTTTGGCATGATAGTGGATGAGTGATAATATAATATGTATGCTACTCTCTTTTTTTTAGGGAATAAGTACAGGCATTCTCTTCACAAAGATAGTAAAATATTTCTCTCTATATTTATGAAAGAAAGAAACACTTTTTCATTATTTTTTTTCATTTACTCTAATCTAAGAAACAAAGAGTATAACAATAAATGCTACATACGTTAGAGATTGTCGAACACACCACTTGCGTTATATGTAACTCACGGGCTAATTCACACCTATGTGAAGCCTGTGCTAGTGAATCACGGGAATATTTTTTTTCGACTAATTCTCACTGTGATGAAAGACAATGAACAAACATTTGAATTGTTAAGGATGAAATGCATGGAAATATCAAATGTAATCGATTTTCAGCTGATCACTGATGCAGCTCAAATGTTCTTCGATCCTCGTATACATGCAATCGATCATCGTGCTCAATCTATTTTAGAAACATCTACAGCTATTGTTACATCAATTGCAAAAGCAATAGAAGTTATAGGTGATGGTGATTGCGGGTTTCACAGCTTCCAAGTTTTTTATCCTTCGATGAGTGTAGATGAAATGTGAACAAGTGTTACCATTGAGTTATGTTCGCACGAGCAATTATACAATTCTCTAGCATCTCAACATGGATTTGATTTAGTAGATGATGAAACGGTGCAAGAGCACGCCTTAAGAATCTTAGATAATGGCGAATATGCTGGTATTCTCACGCTTTCAGCATTAGCATCCGTATTCGAGCGTGTCGTAGACTCAGTTTATCCAACCATCAATGATAATGATCCATACACTAACCTGTTGAACACTAACTTTCAACCTCGACCAGCATCACTAGCCATTAATGATGACTACAGAGCTTTTCATCTTCGCATTTTGTGGTCTGGTCCAGAAGCCACGGTTGGTCATGATTGGCGTCCCAATCATTTTGTACCATTACTTTATACAAAATGCGTTGCTGATAATACAGTGCAAGAAAATGATTCTTCTACACATGAAATAACTGAAAAATCTTCCCTGCTTGCAGTCAATCAAAATTCAAGAAAAGTTACAACTCAAACGAAAAGAGATGAAATTGATACAACAGAATCCAGCATCACATTTCGATCTTCTGACTTGTTAATTAGATTTCTTGGCACAACTGATATCATTAAACGAATTATTTATTCAAACCAAAGTAACATTCTCGATATTCCCCGAAGATGGTATCCAAATCTTCCGTCTATATCATCCGAAATTCCGAGAATAACAGGTGTTCAATAGGTAAAAATGGTCTTGGTGTTTGAGTTCAGGACAGGTCAAAGGAAGTATCTTTAGTATTGACCAGCAACGGACTATATCAACTTGTTCGGAAAAATGCACAAGGACTTGGGTACTATAATAAACGAATTGGAAATAAATACGTTCATCAAACAGTGGGAGAAGACACCATTGTTCTACTGAAACGGTGAGTAGAACTAACGATTCTCTCAGATTTTTATCATATCTCATTGCCCAGATTTTATACCACCCATAAATCAAATGATCAGTTTCGTCGCATGATCTGCTACCTAATAAAGCTTAAGGACATCGAAGATTCAGAGACAGTAATATTTCCGATTTTTCTTCAGTATGTTGGTTATCCTATAGATTTGGCTGGAGCATCAGATCTGCTGGAATCTCATGGAAATGCCAAAAAAATGGCACGATCATTTATATCAACTGTACTATCTGTTATTGCTGATATCAGAGTGAGTTTAATCTTATTCAGCGTAATGTATATGAACTCTCTATAATCTCACCCTCATTTCACGAAGCCGCCCGAAATATACAATCAGTACATGGAGAAAGTTACTGAGATTGCATTTCCTTCTTTAACAGTTCCGGGCGATCGAATGCAAATCTGCAATTTTCGAAAGACCATAATATCAATACGTACTGAATATCTATCGGTTATGAAAATGATGGAAGATAAAACAAGCATTGTAGCCCGACTTTCTATGGAAAGGGGTGAGGCTCTCATTATTTTATTGTCGAAAGATTATCAGATTCATGAAATGAAACGCTGCTGCAACAAATTAAATCCGCATGCAAGTCCTTCAATTTTGTGTAAGTTCTGAAAGATTGATTTTGATTGAATTTTGCCGTCACATATACGTAGGCGTCGACACAACTTATAATCTTAGAAACTTTTTTGTTACACCCACAACATTTCGTAATACAGCGCTTCGAGACAGACAGACAAAGAAAACGCCAATATTTTTCGGTCCAATCATGATACATTATCGTTGTAACACTGCTTCATATCGAGAACTTCTTGCATTTATAAAGCAAGAACTGAGTGAATCTGTACAAATCACTATTGAGAGTGATGGGGAAAAGGCTATTCACAGTGCTGTAAAAGATATTTTTCTGAACTCAATTCAACTTCATTGCATCCGTCATGTCAGAAAGAATACCGAAAGGTACTTACTGAAGACATCCCTGGTACTCGAAGATACACAAAAACTTTTAAATGTCATATTCGATTTCTCTGATTCATTGATTCAAGTAGAAACCAACTATCAATATAATGAGCGCTTGAACAATTTTCGTGATGTTTACAGTGAAATTATAGCATCATATTCCAATCCAGATCTATCAGACACAGGAAATTTCTACACTTGGTTCTCGAGATATCAAAATGATATTTTTCGTGAACATTTGATCGTAGAAGTTGGCATTCGTGGCTCATATGTCGACAATCATGGTGCAGCTAAGCTATTCTATAACAATGATATCGAAAGTATGAATCATGTAATCAAGAGTGCAACCAAGTGGGAGCTTCTGTCATTATCAGAGATAATCGACATTCTTCATAAACAGATCATTTCTCAAAGAAATGAATCGATTCGATCTCTGTATGATTCAGGTGAATTCGAACTTGTTCATAAATACACTCGGTAAGATATTTCTTGGTTGAACCATCTCAGGCTGAGGTTCCAGAGTCCCTTTAGGGCGAAAAACGACCGATACGAAAATTTAAAGGACGTATACAATCGTATGCAGTCGTATAACACGGTTCAGTTTTACGATATTGTATTATCCTGACTCCATACGAAGCAATACCCATATATAGGAAAAAGAGCAGAGCAGAACGAAGATCATAAATGACTATTTTGTTCTGCCTTATGTCGCCATATTGTTTTGTACAGAACCTGGAGATACACCTTCATAATGCAGAGCCGTGAAGTACGATGCGTTATAGTCGTTTACTTTCGTTCTTGTTAGATCTGGAATACGGAACATCTTAATTTTTTTAGATTTCAAAATCATCCTCAAATTTGGAATTCAATGTTATTTCAAGAGCGAGAAGGTGCGATTTCGAATTATTATAGTTTTGAATCTCAATGGTCCATTTCGGATATAAGTAATACATTTAACATTGGTGAATCAGCTGGGCGCAAGTCCGGTAGAAAAGGCGCACGGAGAACGGCGGTGACACCACGGAGAAAAAAATAAAGTTATTTTACACATATACGACACGTTAACAATCGCACATTCATTAAACGAAGAAATACTCATTTTTATCCAGTCTTGTACTAATAAAACACACCAAGTGCAAGGAAAAAGAACAGAATAAAAAGAAAAAGAAAAAATAACAAAAGAAACATCACTTATTATGGGGCGTATGTATACTTGTTATTTCATTAATCATATATGGTGAAAAACAATAAGAGATTTAATTCAAAGTTGAATAACTTTAGATATATCGAGAAATGACTTCGATGTTCATTTGCTGTGAAAATAATATATCTTATTGAGATCTATATGAAGATAGATTGGAGTGGTTTGGGATGGATTGGAGTAGGTTGGAGTGGCTTAGAGTGGGCTGGAGTGGACCACTCAAAATGGTGTTTAACATTTTTGTTTAGGATTTTTTCATTAAAGCCGCTTGGTGTAGGGTCTAATGAGTTAAGAGTATAAAGGTCTATCGATTAATAACACCTTTCCGCAAACGATGCTTGGAATGGGTTGGAGCGTATTTTACTAATACCCCAGCATAATTTGAATGCAAAGTTCATCATTTGTACGAATGTCACTGTTTCATCATTAGAATGCTTAGTGTTTTAAATTTTAGTCATTATCTTCTGTGAGAAAAATTTCATTAAAATGGTTTAAAAGGGAACCTTCGTATTATATTTTTTATTCCCTGGAAATCTTCATTTATATTAGTAATACAATGTTCCAATAATTGTTCTACCGAAGCTGAAACCTGATGCAAGAAGTACGAAAATAGCTATTGCTTGAAGTGTAGTGATATTGTTCATGCAACACCAGCAATAAGCACACATCAAAAGGTATCAATTAAACAAAAATCATCAGAATCCGTGCAATGCGAAATACACGCGGAATGAAAACCTCAAATATTGGTGTTACAACTGTGAGAAAGTGATCTGTCATGATTGTCAATTGTCTAAGCACCATGACCACAAGGTTATAGCGATTACTGATGCTGTACAAGACGTAGAGAAAGAAGTCAGTATTCAGTTGTGTGTATGTTTCTTTTATAAAGCAGCTTTTCATTAAAATTTAGTTGAAGGACAGATTCAAAAGTACATAATCATCTATGGAGAAAGCTTTAAAAAATACGATACAAATGATCAATTCGAGTACAAACGTTAACAAAGACAGGATCAGTAGAGCGTTTCCGTCTATACGTGCTACAATCGATGAGTGCGAGACAATGCTTAAACAATGCATTGGCGAGATCGACAGAAAGAATGAAAAACTGGCTGAAGCCTATCAAGAGGAGCTGAGCTTTACAAGACAAAAGCTCGATCAGCATGGAAAAGAATTCGCCAGTATTCTTTCGACCAATGACCACGTAATATTATTACAAGCAAAGAAAACATTGACTGATAACATCAACGAAATCGTACAAGGCTTAGAAAAACTAAAACCCGAAGTTATAATCGAGTGCAATGTCGGCGGCATCGATGAATTGCAAATAGCTATGAATGGTGCCCTCAAGCGTGCGAGCATCGTAGAGAAACAAGGTAACTTGCTTGTCAGCACCCACGTATGTATGATATTCACTTTAGCGCTTCATATATTTTCTTCAAATTCTTTATAAACTTGAGTGGAGATTCTATCAGAAACGAGATGATGGACCCTGCATGCTTATAATAAGATTGAAATATTCTACAAGACTATTGTGAAAACATAGAGTTACTGCTTAACGATGCAAATTTTAAGTCCAGAATGAATGACATACGACGATCAATTCTTCCCGTAACAAATAACGGAAAATTAGTAAATTTTATTTCCTTCGGTGAACTGTTGATAGATTCGAATTTGTCGGTTGGGAAATCTTTCACCAAACTTTATAGAGAATCATTATTTTTGAAAAATTGACTGTCTTTAAAGAAACTAGATTTAAATACAACTATAGAGTGGGAATTCAACAGTTTTATCTATATTCAAGTGTATTTCTTTCTATTTTCCATTGAAACAATTTCTTTATAATACAGAGAAAAACGATAAGGAAGGGATAAAAAATGATTGATGATCGAGAACATCCTAAGGAGGAAAAACTTGAAATTTATATTGCTAACGATAACCATGGATTGTTTTCGTCTTTCTACACGATGAGACAATACATTCCAGTCATTTCTGACACCATTACATATTTCAGCCCGTAAACAAGACGATAATCCTATCTTTTCACTTATAGATTGATCCTATTCAAAGAAAAGTGCAGGATGTATAAGAATTCAATGGATCATATTTTTTATTTATTTACATATATGATTGGGTGCAGTATGAGGAGATAATTACAAATAATATATAGCTTTTGATCTCAATGGAATCACTGTTTAGTGAAAAACAGCTGTAAAATGCTATATTACGATTTTTCCCAAAACTTGTCCAAATTCTTAGTTTTATTTTCTAAATAATCTGAAAGTATTGGATTTTAATTTAGAACCGAAAATTAAACAGAATAATATGATTTAATTGGATTAACCCTCTCTTTTACTCATTGCAAGACCCTTAGTTTTCTGTGCAGAAAAATATCTTAGCAAGAACTTGATAAATCAATGAAAAGGTGGGTTCAGTAGGATTTGAGACAGGATTCTGATGGATCGTACTATAGTTTCTAAAGAAATGAGCAGGATCGAGACTACATTTCAGAAAAAAGAGAAAATCTTTCCTGGAGGCTTGATAAGTATTTTCTCCGAGGGTTCTCTACTTCAAAGCATGAAGTTTAATAAGATTTTCGAATAAATTTCAATTTTTGAGAACGCTTTTGTTTCATAAGAAAATCATGAAGGTTTCTTAATTTATATTGTCGGGAAGATCCTTTATAAGTTTCGTAAAACCTTTTTCATGGTTAACCCCATGTTAGGGAAGGACATTCTTGGAAGTTATAACAAGTTTTTGTGCAGAAGAATGTTCTATTGGTAGCAATTTTCTGCAAGAGAGTGGGTCTCTTTTACGACAACGATGACGATTCCTTTTATTTTTCGTTGATTGTAGTGATTCCCCATATTTCGATCGATACTCGATTGGCACAGAGCCGAATGACTGCTGCTGGTAGACATGGAAAAGGCAAAGCTCTCAATAAACTGAGCAAACTCTATGGTGTGTTCGTTGATGGTGATCAAATGATGGTCATCATTGACTCACGGAATCATCGCATCGGCCAATGGAAGGTGTAGGATAGGCATGGACAAGTGATAGCTGGTGGCAATGGGAAAGGAAATCGTTTGGATCAACTGAATGGTCCAACCGATGTGCTGATCGATAAAGAGACTAGTAGTCTCATTTTATCTGATCGAAACAATCGACGTGTCTTGCGATGGTCTTTTTGCAATGGCACAACTGAAGGAGAATTTCTCATCGGCAAGGTCGCTTGTTGGGGATTAGTCATGGATAATCAGCGGTATCTCTACGTCTCTGACATCGACAACCATGAAGTCCGACGTTATCGAATCAGAGCCAAGAATGAAAGTGTCATGGTCAATGTTGACTGCATAAGTAATAGTGCTTACGTTTTTGACGTCAACAAACATGAAACCAGATGATATCAAATAGAAGACAAAAACGGAACTGTGGTGACCGGTAGTCATGGCAAAGGTAGTGGTCTCAATCAATTCTGCGGGCTGACCTACATCTATGTCGATCCACAACAGATTGTCTACGCGTCGGACTACAATAATGATCGTGTGATGTAATATAATAAGGATGCTACAGAAGGAATTGTCGTTGGTGGGGGCCAAGAAGAAGGGAAGACTCTAGCACAGTTGTCGTATTCTCAATGGCTGCTCGTCGATATATCAGGTACGATCTATGTCGCAGAGGTAGGCAATAATCGAGTGATGCGTTGGTCTAAAGAAGCGACACAGGGCACCACCATTTTGGGTGACAATGGTTACACAGAAGGAGCGAATCAACTGGCCTATCCTGTGGGTTCGTTCTTCGATCGAAATGGCAACTTGCATGTCGCTGATTTCTGGAATCATCGAGTACAACGTTTTTTTTATCGGATAGACTTATATTGATGGTTGTTTTGTTTTTCAATTTCTATCAAATAAATACCGATGAATGGAAAAGAAACTGCTATTCAAAAGAAGGAATGATTTTAATTACGATTATATTCGCATGCGCAACTAAGGGCCACCATAGTGGTGTCGTAGTGACAAGAAGACCATGCAGGATTTAGGTGTGGGTTCGTGTGAATTTCAGCCAACTTCCATCCATATCGATATTGACAGCCCACACCCACACCCACACCCACACCCACACCCTGAGATGAACAGTCGTTAGTGACTTGTTCGGAATCATTCCATGGTTGGTGATACCGATGTTTGAACATAGTAACGTGTGAATACGTGTCGAAAAACGTAGTCATTCAACCATGACGGTTTTTTTAACTGAAAGAAATATGTTTCTCAATTTACACATGATGTGAATATTAAGAATTTTTATTTCTAAAAGTTTTGATTCCATAAGGATGTCATTTACAACAAGATTTATTTACTAAGCCTCCCATTTACTTATAGTAGGGAACAAGATCAAATATTTATTTTGATTATTTATCGACGATTTCAAGAGTTTTCATTAATTCATTGGTGGCATAAAATATTAGTGCTTTTCAATGATTTTTATTAATCTATTCATGGAAATCTTAAAAATAAGCTTGTGTTTTGACTACACAAACTTATTTGACATCACTAAAGCATGATAAAATGTCATGAAAGAAAACATTTATTTCTCTCGTTAATGTAAAGAATATTCGTAAGATGAAGAAAAGATTAATAATTGTATTTTTAATTCTTCGGCGTTCTTTGTCTAACAACATACTCATATTTAAGCACTACAAAAAGTGTGAACATATTAGATACAATCTCACTAATATCGCTCGCTAAAGCAGATGATATTGCTATGGATGCGCGAAAAACGAAGATTAAACTCACGACGATAAGTATCATTATAAACTTAATTTATGAAAAGGGACCATGTCTTATTGACTAGGACAAATAAACACATATGCTTCGAAAGGCTCAACAAACTAGTTTTCTACTATCTTCCGCCCTATGTAACATTATTATCATTCGTGATGTCATTTGGGATCGTATTCCTGACGATTTACACATCGTTTTACTCAAATTTCTTTAGTTCAATGAATTACATCAACGTTTAGCTTGAGTGAATTCTATTTGTACTAAGTGAGACTTATCCATTCTTTTTTTACCTCATAGAAAATAATCCAGATGATGAAAAAGCTTTCTCCTTTGCTTTTGTTCGGTGGACTTGAAGAATTAAAAAACTCGCAATAAGCACAAAAGTTAGACAGTTCACTATAGAGTACAACTCAAAACATAGGATAATTATACGTTCATTCATTATATTTGGAATAGTAAAATAATAAATATCGATAAAAAAAATTAGATATAGTGCGAACGTTATATTCTTGCAAATGCTGAGCATTTTTGATAATTTATTGTGGAATAAACTCATGAAAGAGAAGAAAAAGTTTAATAAAACGATTGAAAATTTTAAACTGAAGTCTTTGCTCATGTGGATACCTCACTTTTCCATATCATTATTAATGTTTGTCATATACAACTATAAGTACAATGTAATCATTAGTAAAATACAATGATAGAACACAATAAAAAAGATAAAGCCCTTATCTTTTATTTTTCATCCTACAATTCAGTATCGCAAGACTTCTTCGTCTTTTTTCGCATTCATTCTAAAGTTAATATAGTTTTTCTTCTGTTTGATAAAATCTTTTTTTTTACTTTTGTCGATGCTCAAATCATATCTTAGCTTATCATAGAAGCATCCATACATGGCCTCTACAACATGTAAAAAACGGCCCTGTTCAAAATGCGACAAAGCAGCGGACATTCTTACTTGTCATGGATGTGGAAAAGATTTTTGTTATCGTCGTGTAGCTGAACATCGACAAGAACTCAATAAACAAATGGATGAACTCACTACTTATTATGATCAATTTCAACAAACGATTGCTAAACAAGATTCCCAACCAGATTGTCATCCTCTGATTCAAAAGATCAATACATGGGAACAAGAGTCAATCGATAAAATTCGTCGAGAAGCTGATGACGCTCGCAAACAATTGTTAACTATTCTTGCCACACATAGAAGTAAAGTAACAAATGATTTAACACATCTTATTCAAGAACTAAGGAAAGCTCGTAACGAAGATGATTATGTAGAAACAGATTTGAAGGAATGGATGGAAAGATTAAATAATTAACAAAAAGACTTGACTGCAGCTCAAACAATTGATTTCGGTACAGACAATGATAGTGGTACATTGATTTCAAAGATGTATATTAATGGAGTTTCAACTGACTTTTTGTCACGAACTATTGGTGATATTAAAATTATGGAAAATGGTAGAGCCGTTCTTCATGATCCAACTCATCAAAATGCAGCAGCATGTGATAGATATGAATATTCATTGGGGCAATATCGACTGCGTTTTAAATTGGAGCAATGCAATCGTAATGGAGATTTTTCTTGTGGTATTTTATGAAAGACTACACCTCTAGAGTCACTGCTGTATATCTCTACAAATAATAATGTGTATCAGTACGATTATGATAGTAGTACGCCTTATTCTGTTCACAATACAAATGGACTTTTCTACTTTACTGATACTAGTCAAAATTCACAAAACGATATTATTGAGCTTCTCATCGATTGTGATCGGCAAATTATACGTTCAACTAACCAGCGCACACAACAAAAACAGGAAATCCATATTAACTTGAATACATGTCCATTTCCTTGGCAATTTTTCGTCACACTTTTGTACGCCAATAGTCGTACTTCTATTTGTGAAGAAAAGTTGCCGAACAAAACTGCCAGGAAAAATTAATGATAATATTTATACTTTATTAGTTATAACAGTTCATTAGTTTGTTTTTGTTTCATGTTTATTCTGAAATGAACTTTGACAATGTCTTCGAATATTGAACTACATTTTAAAACTACTATAAAATTTTATTTCTCTTTTTCTGAATCTCCATAGTCTATCTAAGAATATAAATTACTTGGTTGCAGTCGAAATAAAAAAATTAGGCAAAAAGTCCTGTTAAAAAAACATTGACTGTTCCTAACAATAAACGAAAAAATGAATGCTCTCAGTTTTTGAAATGTATCCTCACAGATAGATCAATCGAAAGTGAATTCTTTATTTCAGATGAAAACATAACAAAGTATCCTATAAACTAATAATATGATTAAAATTTTAACCAAATTAACGCTTACTTGAAATAGTTGACGGGATGAAATCAAGGAAAAAACTCAACCAACTTGGAAAGCATTCTCTAGTTGAGATCTAGTTTTACCACGTTTCTGAGTTTATCGTTAGAAAAAACAATGCCAAAAACACGTGATTTTATGAATAGGAACCAAAATAATATATTATCAAAAATGAACAACGTTAGTTTTAAATTATATTTCTTGATTGTCGTATGTAAAAAAACGCCATCTGTCGCTCTGACGGTGTGGAATATTACCATTTTCCTTCTTTTCTTTTCCTTTTATCTTGTCATTCGTTCTCGCTCAGCTCTATCTGTGAACTTTAATGACTCGTTTGTGGTTGTTGATTTTATTTTATTTTTTATAATTTTAGCTAATTATCGTTTATTTACATACATAAACTAGACAAATACTCTAATGTTAGATATTATAGAATATTGTGATCATATACTTATCAAGTCCTTGAGAGTAACTTCTATGAAGGATATCCACTAGTTTAAGTAATCGACTGGAGAAAAAATTTAATCTAACGATTTATTTATTTATTTATAAGAAAAGAAATGTGCACATTGAATAACAATCAGACAAAAACGTTTAAATAGTTTACTTCTAAGATTGAAATTATTGTAGAAGTACCATATGATATTATTTGAATTTGAAAAAGGTCAATATAATACCGTCTAAGGCTATTTTATTCTATCCACTAGCACTATATCATTCAATGCAGCATAGATCATAGATTTTTTATCATATACATTAAAACATAACTAAAAAATTCTACAGAGATACTTTTTTTTAGAGTACAAGTTACATCAATAGTTTTTAAGAACTCCCATATAGTCGATTATTTTATCTGAAAAGTTTAATATGCAATAAGAAAATGTTTGACACTATTATTAATACCAAATTTTGTTCTTTTATTACGTAACTAAATTCATATATCACATGACTTCGTCATGAACTTTTATAAATATGTCTAAATTGTCATAAGATATATGTATATATACTGCAATCAGTAACAATCTTCCTTTTATTCAGATATGGCAAACGCAGCAGAAGGAAAGACACCATGCTCAATATGTCAAAAGGTAGCTGGTATATTTATTTGTCGTGGATGTGGAAAAGATTTTTGTTATCGTCATGTAGCTGAACATCGGCAAGAAATTAATAAACAAATGGATGAACTCACTACTAATCATGATCATTTTCAACAAAGGATTGCCGAACAAGAAGCGCAACCGAATTGTCATCCTCTGATACAAAAGATCAATGAATGGGAACAAGAATCAATCGATAAAATCCATCGAGCAGCTGGTGATGCTCGTAAACAAGTCATAACTATTCTTGGCATACATAGAACGCAAGTAATACATGATTTGACATGTCTTACAAAAAAATTAAGCGAAGCTCATAAGGAAGATGATTATGTAGAAACAGATTTGAAAGAATGGACGAAGAAACTTGACAAATTAAGAGCCGACTTGAATGCATTTCAAACGATTGATTTCAGTGAAGACAATAATAGCAGTACATTGATTTCAAAGCTTTTTATCAATGATGCATCAACTGACATTTTTCATCGAATCGTGGGCGATATTCAGATTAATGAAGGTGGAAAAGTTGCAGTGCATGGTCCAACAAATGGCATCGCTGCAGTATGTTGTAGAGGTGAATATGCATTGGGAAAACATCGATTTCATTTTAAAATTGAACGATTGTTCAATTACAGTGCTTTTTATTGTGGTATCGTGTCGAAAAATACACCGACCGATTCAATTTGCATTACGTCGGTTAATTATGGCGGGCATCGATGCAGCATCCCCTCTGGAACTCCGAAATATCTTAATCAGAACGTCCTTTTCTGTTTTAATGGACCAAATTATTATTTTCAAATGAATGAAACATACGAACTTCTAGTTGATTGTAATGAACAAATAATACGTTTAACAGAAGGACAATCAGGCAGAACACACGAACTCAAAATTAACTTAACTATCTGCCCATTACCATGGCAGTTTTTTATCGCACTAATTTCTGCCAATGATTACGTTCGTCTTTGTTAATATCTTTGCCCAATAAGAAGAGACAAACTTAAATAAGCATTCACTTCTAATATGTATTCTTTATAATGTATTGTAATCATATTTATGTCACTAAAGTGTCTTTAATATAGTTTTAGTGAAAAGATAAAGAATAAAAAGTTCTTTTAGTCTCTAATATTTAACTCTCAGAGTGTAACAAAATATTTTTTGACAATCATTATTTGTAGTGTCGGTACGCATAGAATATCACAAATATTCTATTATGTAGTTCGAGAAAAATGTTTCTTCTCATACAGGGAAATGAATCTTTTTTTTTACAGCGGCAGTTGATCAAAAGAAACTGTAATAAACCTAAGTTCTTTTAAAACAAGGTTATCACAATTTTAGTTGAAACATTTGTATGAAAATCATCTATTAGTGCTCATATATGGACAATTCCATACTGTTTTTGTTGACTATTTTCCTTTTCGCAATTAATGGAAAGTACCGTGATGGAGTATGAATGCTCTAGAAGAATAAAATATTACAGAGGGATATCAAATAAGAGAGAGAGAGAAAGATAATTGTGAATGACAAGTATTCACAATTCATTCTTTTGCTGTTTACGCTACGATGCTAGTAAGATTAAATCAATTCGAGTTTTTTTTTCTAAAACAGTTTTCAAAAGGCTAAAGTTATTTGAAAAGAAAGATGGCATACACGACTGTGTCTCTTTTTATTATTTATTTAAACTTTTTAATCTGTTCTTTTAAGTCAAATAAAAGATTTTATTATAAATTATCTTTGATAAAATACTTTTGAAATATGAAAGGTTCAATATCTATGTATATTCAAATCTTTTTATTCAAAAGTAACTATAAAATATAAGAGTTTCATTCAAATAAATATTTCTCTCTATCAAGTACTTTTAACGAAAAATAGATCTAAGTCTCATCATAGTTGATATGAACCTCTCATATTATTGCACATCATTTCTCTTCATCATTAATTTCTGCTAAGACTACATCCATCACTTCACTACAATAAAAAAGAAAAATAGAATTCAAGAGAATTGTCTTCGATGTCTAGATGATGATAGACCGTAGTCGAATGATTAAATGAATTTATTATAGATACATATGCTTATTTGTCTGATTTGAAAAGATAGATAACTGTAGATACTACAGCTTCTTGTATTGCCAATGCTTTTATAGAAAATGAGATCAGTGGTACATATTATTGCTTTCTTTCAGATAAAGCATGTACGAAAGAAAATGCTCACTCTACTACACATATATCAAACAGAAACTTTTTAATCATAGAATTAAAAAAAACGTGAAGCACTGCACAAAGGACAAATCTGTCACTATCTCGCATTGTTACCATTTGACATACAAGGGTGACGGTAACCGGTTTAAACCAGAGACTCTACAGCTCACATTCATGAGCGGGAGCAATTATTTCGATCCGAATAGGAGAGAGAGACTACCATCCTTGATAAAGATTGACCAAAGGTAATCAGGTCGAGGAATTCAAGTCTATACTCGGTTTTTCGAAAATTTGACTTTGATTTTTTACAAAAAAATTATTGTTCTACAAAAGCATTATTTTCTTAGTAAAAAATATTTTCTCTGTATAAAAATGTTGTTTTTCTACAAAAAACTATTTTTACAGACAAACATCAAACTCAAAATTTCGAAAAACCGAGTATAGATGTGGATTGCTCAACCTCGATAACATTAGATCAATCTTTATTAAAGACCATAATCTCCCTCCCCTATTCGATGCAGGAAAATTGTTGACGCCCATGAGTGTGAGCTGCATACTACTAATTAGTTTAAACCTGTATAAACCAGTTACCCGTGAGCACCGGTGAAATAGTGACGGCGAAGCGGTGATTCACCGCCACCATTGTATCTCTAGCTACAGTTTGTGAGTATGAATAAAAAATCACACTTTCTATACAAAAAAAAAAAAAAACAATTCATGGAATGTCTTTCTTGATTAGAACTAGTGGACGCTGATTTTTATCTACAAATATAAGTTTCACAAAGATATGTTGAAAAGCATCCTTTTCTCTAAATAGCCGTCTAGTAGTTAAACAGTAGCATTCAACTAATAAATTTATTATGTTAGTGTAAATATGTTCTAATTATTGATAATCGATGATAATGAATAGAACATCAGTTCTTTTTCACCAGAATTCTTGTTCGTCATAAACAATTAATGGTTACAACACCTAATAATACTTGACTCAACATTAGAACATTTGCTAAAACATAAAACATTGGCAAATGTCCTAAATAGAAGAGTTACTATGGGTGTCAGTATGAGTCTATTCTTTAAATATAACCAATCACACCAGAGATTCACTTCCTTTCCCATCAACTTCGAATAAGTCATTGCAAATGAAAAATCTATGGTGTCTCAAAAACTTATTTTGTGATTCATAGTCTATTTTAATATATCTTCTGTGAAATGAAACAATCTATTTCAATCGATGTTGTTAAGAATACAAAATTGATGAGTCAGTACTAGCAATCTTGAGATTCATTAAGCAGCAATTTATTGAATAATAAATAAATATATATACAAATGTTTTTATCAATGGCATCTTACACAATAGATCAAAGGAGACAAGAAAAATAAATTAGATTATACCATGCCATTATCAAAAACCACAGATTTATCTTTCTGAGGTAAACTGGCAATAGCTGCTTCGTATGCTTCATCAAGATCAGCATGAAACAATGGTCGATTGATATCCAAAATGGGAACAAGTACAATATCTGTATTGTTTTCANTTTTTGTTGTGGTATCGTGTCGAAAAATACACCGACCGATTCAATTTGCATTACGCCGGTTAATTATGGCATGCATGGACGCAGCATCCCCTCTGGAACTCAGAAATATCTTAATCAGAACGTCCTTTTCTGTTTTAATCGACAAAATTATCATTTTCAAATGAATGAAACATACGAACTTCTAGTTGATTGTAATGAACAAATAATACGTTTAACAGAAGGACAATCAGGCAGAACAAACGAACTCAAAATTAAGTTAACTATCTGCCCATTACCATGGCAGCTTTTTATCGCAACAATTTCTGCCAATGATTACGTTCGTCTTTGTTAATATCTTTGCTCAATAAGAAGAGACAAACTTAAATAAGCATTCACTTCTAATAAGTGTTCTTTATAATGTCCTGAAATCATATTTTTGTCACTAAGGTGTCTTTAATATAGTTTTAGTGAAAAGATAAAGAATAAAAAGTTCTTTTAGTCTCTAATATTTAACTCTTAGATTGTAACAAATTATTTTTTGACAACTATTATTTGTAGTGTTGATACGCTTAGAATATCACAAATATTCTATTATGTGATTCGATAAAAATGTTTCTTCTCATACAGTAAAATGAATCTTTTTTTCTACAGCGGCAGTTGATCAAAAAAAACTGTAATAAACCTAAGTTCTTTTGAAATAAGATTATCGCAATTTTAGTTGAAACATTTGTATGAAAATTATCTGTTACTGCTCATATATGGACAATTCCATACTGTTTTTGTTCACTATTTTCCTCTTCACAACTAATGGAAAGTACCATGATGTAGTATGCATACTCCAGAAGAATAAAATATTACAGAGGCATATCAAATGAGAGAGAGAGAAAAAAAAATTGTGAATGACTTTTTAAGTATTCACAATTCATTCTTTTGCTGTTTACGCTACGATGCTAGTAAATCAATTCGAGTTTTTTTTCTAAAACAGTTTTCAAAAGGCTAAAGCTATTCGAAAAGAAAGATGGCATACACGACTGGGTCTCTTTTTATTATTTATTTAAACCTTTTAATCTGTTCTTTTAAGTCAAATAAAAGATTTTATTATAAATTATCTTGGATAAAATACTGTTGAAATTTGAAAGGTTCAATATCTATATATATTCAAATCTTTTTATTCAAAAGTAACTATAAAATATAAGAGTTTCATTCAAATAAATATTTCTCTCTATCAAGTACGTTTAACGAAGAATAGATCTAAGCCTCATCATAGTTGATATGAACCTCTCATATTATTGCACATCATTTCTCTTCATCATTAATTTCTGCTAAGACTACATCCATCACTTCACTACAATAAAAAAAATAGAATTTAAGAGAATTGTCTTCGATGTCTAGATGATGATAGACAGTAGTCGAATGATTAAATGAATTTACTATAGATGCATATGCTTATTTGTCTGATTTGAAAAAGATCGATAACTGTAGATGCTACAGCTTCTTGTAGTGCCAATGCTTTTAGAGCAAATGAGACCAGTGGTACATATTATTGCTTTCTTTCAGATAAAGCATGTACGAAAGAAAATGCTCACTCTACTGCATATATATCAAGCAGAAACTTTTTAATCATAGAATAGAAAAAAAAAACGTGAAGCACCGTACAAAGGACAAATATGTCACTATCTCGCATTGTTACCTTTTTGCATACAAGGGGGACGGTAACCGGTTTAAACCAGAGGCTCTACAGCTCACATTCATGAGCAGGAGCAATTTTTTTGATTCGAATAGGAGAGGGAGACTACCATCCTTTATAAAGATTGGCCAAAGGTAATCAAGTCGAGGAATTCAAGTCTATACTCGATTTTTCGAAAATTTGACTTTGATTTTTTACAAAAAATTATTTTTCTACAAAAGCATTATTTTCTTAGTAAAAAATATTTTTTCTGTATAAAAATGTTTTTTTAAGCTTTTTTTTACTGATAAACTTTTTTTTCTATAAAAACTATTTTTACAAACAAACACCAAACTCAAAATTTCGAAAAATCGATTATAGATGTGGATTGCTCAACCTCAATAACATTCGATCAATCTTTATAAAAAACAATAATCTCCCTCCCCTATTCGATTCATGAAAATTGCTGACGCCTATGAGTGTGAGCTGCATACTACTAGTTTAAACCTGTATAAACCAGTTACCCGTGAATCAGTTACCGGTGAGAACCGGTGAAACACTGACGGTGAAGCGGTGATTCACCGCCACCATTGCATCTCTAGCTACAGTTTGTGAGTACGAATAAAAAATCACACTTTCTATACAAAAAAAACAATTCACGGAATGTCTTTCTTGATGAGAACTAGTGGGCGCTGATTTTTATCTACAAATATAAGTTTCACAAAGATATGTTGAAAAACATTCTTTTCTCTAAATAGCCATCTAGTAGTTAAACAGTACCATTCAACTAATAAACTTCTTATGTCAGTGTAAATACGCTCTAATTATTGATAATCGATGATAATGAATAAAATATCAGCTCTTTCTCATCAGAATTCTTGTTCGTAATAAACAATTAATGATTACCACACCTAATAATACTTGACTCAACATTAGAATATTTGCTAGAACATAAAACATTGGCAAATGTCCTAAATCGAAGAGCTACTATGGGTGTCAGTATGAGTCTGTTCTTTAGATGTAATCAATCACACCAGATATTCACTTCCTTTCCCATCAACTTCGAATAAGTCATTGCAAATGAAAAATCTATGGTGTCTCAAAAACTTATTTTGTGATTCATAGTCTATTTTAATATATCTTTCGTGAAATGAAACAATCTATTTAAATCGATGTTGTTAAGAATATAAAATTGATGAGTCAGCACTAGCAATCTTGAGATTCATTAAACAGCAATTTATTGAATAATAAATAAATGTATATACAAATGTTTTTATTAATGGCATCTTACTCAATAGAACGAAGAAGAGTAGAAAAAGAAATTAGATTATACCATGCCATTATCAAAAACGACAGATTTATCTTTCTGAGGTAAACTGGCAATAGCTGCTTCATATGCTTCATCAAGATCAGCATGAAACAATGGTCGATTGATATCCAAAATGGGAATAAGTACAATATTTGTATTGTTTTCATCACCGTCGATATTGCCATAGACATTTGCTACAGAAAAAACCGTATGTCCTTGTTCAGATGAACCGAATCCAGCTGAAATGAGTGCACGTTTCAACCAGGGACGTGATAAACCGACAAAGTGCCAATTGACTTTTTTATCTGCATAACAATCTAATTGTCGACGAACATCGACAAGATTTTGTAGACCAGTTATATCCAAATGAGCAACACCACTAAAATCTAAAATTAAGGCATGTAAACATGGACGTGGGTCATCTTTCTGTTGATCCTTTTCTGGATGTCGACTCGTCTTCAAATTCCACGGTTGTTCACCTAGTGAACCATACATATTGGGTTTGCCTGATTTAGTTTCACGAAAAATTTGTTCAATCATAAGTTCCACATAATGATTGGCATTCGGATAGAGAAAACTTTCATTCAATCTATAGATAAAAATGCCGTTACCAGCTGATGCAGGAATAATTGTTGGATTTGATCCATCGGAATGATCGAGTGGTACATAAATATTTCGAGTTGTTAAACGAATATAGTTATCGACTGATAATTTGATTTGTTGAACTTGAACTCGACCAACAAATTGACCACGAGCTTTAGCAATACGAAACAATAGAAGAGCACCAGAAGAAATAACCGTAATGTAGATACCAATTTCAATAGTAGAAAATATTGTTACAATAACTCCAATCCAAAAGATGAAAAATTCAATTGGACTTACTTGCCAAAAACGTTTCAATGTTTGTGGTCCAGCAATAAGATCACCAACAGCATGAATGATAACTGCTGCTAGACTAGCTTGTGAAATCCAATAGAACATTGGTGGTAAAGCATAAATACCTAGAATAATCAATACACCGCTAACAACACCAGCCATTGGTGTTCGTACACCTGCTTTAGACTTAATAGCTGTTCGTGAAAATGAACCTGTCGCTGGATAGGCACCAAAAAATGGTCCAAATATATTTGTTACTCCGATGGCAATCAATTCTTGATTAGGATCAATAACATAATTATTGATTCGACCAAATGATTTAGCTATAGCAACATGTTCAATGAGAAGAACAATTACTGTCGATGGTAGATACGATGCAAAAGCACTCAATAATGGTCGATCAATATAGGGTATGCCCATATTTTGAAAACCGCGTGGAATTGTGCCGAGTAGAGCCGTTCGTGGATGCTGTGGATCATTACGATTGATTAACCACGAAATGAGAAGATAGAGAAGAATAACAAATACAGCACGAAGTGTACTGATAAAAAAAAATAATTTTTCTTTCGTCGGAAAACGTTTACTTGCACGAAGACAAATAAAACGAATTAAATAAAGTAGAAAAAGTGATGTTAAGCCGAGTGCAGCATTTAAATTACAATGTGAAATTTGCTTCCAAAAATTATAAAAAACCAAATAGGTCGATTCACGTGTATCCAAATATTTACGATTGCCCATTAGTGTTGGTATTTGTCCCATAGCAATATTCAATGCTGACCCAGTCATAAATGCTGCTAAAGCTGGTAGAGGAATAAAATCGACTATAAAACCGAGACGAAACATGCCGAGAGCAAAAACAATACAACCAGCAATGAGAGATAGAGCCGATGCGATGGTATGTAATTCATATCCCGGATATTCTTTATGTACAGCTTCTATCACACTACCGGTTAATGCTGACATAACTGCCACAGGTCCAATACTAATATCCTGCAAGCAAACGATGTCATTTTGAAAAAAAAAAGAAAAACAAATAAAATCAATCGTTCATTGATGTTGGATTAAAATTTCTTATAATTATCGTTGACATGATTTCGTTTAGTTTAGAATATTTTTGTTTTTTGTTATTAAAGAAATAATAAGAATGATTCTAGTGTTATATTGAGATTGGTAGAGTAGAAAATCGTACTGAAACCATAAAGATTGACTGGTAAAGCAAAAAACTGAACTGTTAATCAACTCGTTTTATAATTAATTTGATATCAGTTGATAGAGAAACGTTGATTTTTTCTCGGAAAAGAAAACATTACTGTTCTAAAATATATATAACTTGAGTTATGAAACAAGTAGTAAAAGGTTTTGTTCTCAGAAGAATAAGGATACCTGACTCTATTTCATTCACCTTGCTAGTTGCAAATAGCCAATAAATCATCACTCCAACAAATGAACTATACAAGCCAAATTGTGGTTCTAATTTAGCCAATCCAGCATAGGCCATACTTTGTGGTATTACAATAGCACCAACAGTCAAACCAGCAACAAGGTCACCCCAAAACCATGTTAAATTGTATCGATAAATCCAATTGATAAATGGTATATAGGAGAGAAAATAATTCTTGATTCGTTGTTTAGGATTATTTATTTGACTTTGCAGCCAACTTTTAACAGTCGGATATGGTTCAAAATATTCATGATGAGTAACTGTTCTGATTCGACTCGATGATGATGATGATGATGATGGAGATACTGTTATCGATGATTCAATAAGTGCCAATGTATTTTGCTTATGTCCTCCCATAATGCACGTTTTCTATTGAAATTCCAATGCACGAAGACAGTCAATGCAAATCAACGAAGAGAAAAAAAAACTTTACCTTACTCGATATAAACTGCGAAAGAAAGCTCCAAAAAAGGTCTTATATATGAGGACAAATCATGTGCTGGATTAGGTGTGAAAATCTCGATAAAAAACTGGAAAGCATGAATCATTATTTATTTTTGACTTTAAGTGAAACAGTATGCAGGCTATAATGTAAATAAAATCACATGAATAGAAAGTATACTATGTTGTCATTATTTGTGTCCTTGCAATTTTTTTGTATTGCTATTCAAACTCAGGCATACATTTTATTGCTCAGTCATGCGAAACAAAAGTTATGTGTATATAGCAATTCAAGTATTGTTCACCCAATTATTTGAGCGGATTGGAAAATAATGGCGCATGAATATTTCAGAAAAACAATGGATGATATAAAGTTGAGTCTATATGACGAAGTATTATATTTTGGTGATATATTACAAAAGCTGACCTGTTTTTATTAATAATACGGATTACTACAATCGAAAGCAAATAAAGATATGCATGCAATTTATATGTCAGTTTTCATTTCTAATAGAGCTTTGGAATATTTTCTGTTGAGTGTTATTTTAGAAATGAATCTTGATTGTTTACTATTCTTTTTATAAATTCAACTTCAAAGTTGTGCAATAGAAAAAAAATGCGTGTGAGATTATTCAATAATATAGCAAAAATGGTCAATTTTAAATGAAATCAGTTGGAAAACAAAAAGTTGTAATAGAGACTGAAAATCATGTTCCACGTCGAAGTTGTCTTTTTGATAAATTATCTTCGATCAAACTGAAACCTTGTTCATATGTACTTAGTAAATTGCTCGAAAACATATCAATTTATCTTTTGAAGAAAAAAAAAGTTCAATATGCTGGTTTCAACTCTTGCTTTTTAGCAAAAGAAAGATAGAATTAATTTTGCCGATGCACTTCGTATTATTTATTTTAAATATAAATAATCATCAAACGCCTGCATTACACTGTAAAAGAAAAGACTGAAGAGAATGACAACAAAATTAAATTATAGTGAAGGTTATCAATATAAAAACAAAAAAAAAAGGAATTAAAATAGAAAATATGACACAAAAATTTAATTTTTTTATTAGTTACAATCGGTGACATACAATATGTAAGATAGTTATTTGGGCACCATATGATACTTATCTTGTGTAGTATATTTCTTCAAGAAGACAAAACATTTCCACGATTCTGATTATACCATTCGATAGAGCGAAGTCTCTAGTTTACTTTACGAAAAAAAAATTTTTCTAGGGCGTTTTCTTAAATTGTTTTTTTGAAACGTTTTCAACAAACTGCTTGATTTCCTATGCAAAAAAAATTATTTGGTTACCTGTAATTTTCTTTTCATAAAGATCTTTATTCTGCATCAAAATAATTTGAGTTAAATATCATTCGATAGAGAAAATCAGACTGAAGCAAATCATGTCTTTGATTCCGAAAAAATAACTAAATAAAAAAGATATTAATTGCTAATTAAAACTAGTATATCGTACAGGTGTTTCAATAATCTTGATTTTTGGATGGCAACAGTCAACTCAAAATTTTTTGTAATAACACAGTCTTCTAGAAAATTAAATTCTCTGCAAAATGATATATTGCAATGTCCGGTAAACAGTTTCTTTCGATAGGATACGATCATAGCTTTTCATGTCTATCGTTCACTATAGGAAAGAAAAAAAAAAAATTCGTTCTGTCATTCAAAACGGATAACTCTACATTGTTTTCTTTCCTTTCTGTGCTATAGGATGGACTCGAAAAGCTGTTGTCTTATTCTATTGAGGGAAACTATTGATCGGGCGTTACAACATACCATTTTGTAGAGGGTTTAATTCTCTATAAGCCTGGATCATTCTAAAGAATTTTGAGTTAACCGTTGCCCTAAAAAAATCAAGATTATTGGAACACCTATACAATATACTAGTTTTAATTAGCAATTAATATCTTTGTTATTTAGCTATTTTTAGGAATCAAAGACATGATTCGTTTCAGTCTGATTTTCTCTATCGAATGATATATAACTCAAATTATGTTTATGCAGAATACAGGCTTTATGAAAAGTAAATTACAGGTGTCCAAATAATTATTTTACACACTGTATTTACTGTGACTGATTTTTCTTGTCATATGCTTTAATAGGCTGTTTCATTAAATGTGATGCTTGAATATTATATTTAATGAGTTGTTTTTCTTTGATGTGTATCTTTCATGGTTGACTTTATCTTTCTCATTATCTACCAAATGGTCTCATACAAAAAAAAGCTCTCTAATTTAACGATTTTTGAATATGAACAACTTTCGGTTGGCTTTGAATTCAAGGATAAATAATTTTATGAACGATACCAGCTATAAGTCTCACAAAAATTAAATGTAAATAACAATAAAACTGCTCAGTCATGTGTATCCATTGACATCATAAAGATTCATGATAGTGTTTTCTAAGAACATCCATTAATGTTACCTTTGCGTAGCACATTTCATGTGTAAGCATATAATGATAATGTTAAGTATCGAAATGTCTGATGAATATCGAGTATAAGGTGGAAAGAGTAAAGTAGTGATCAATATACTAAACCAGAATTGAAACCGGTTCGATCAAACCGGACACGACAGGATTTTTGCCAGTTCCTCTTTCCAAAATTATTGTTTGCACTCAAGAGTTTTCTCGACTGAAAACGATGTTTTTATGATGGCTTCAAGCCAGAAGAATGTGTTTGCGAAAAACTCAATAGATATTTTGTCTTCGACTTAAATATGAACGATTGATTGTTCTGGGTGTGGGCGTGGGCGTGGGCGTAGATGGAAACTAGATTTAGATCATTCCACACTTGCCCACATCGGCAAGTAAAAAGAATACCTATGACGCTTTATTGCTATATTTCATAAGATAACAATAACTTTGTCGAATAACATTATTTTAGAAACGTTTAGTCCGTTGAAGTAGATAACTACAATGACAACAATACATGAATCAATTTTTGGAGTTGTGTACAAGTATGACGTATGAGAAGAACTAAACTTACAAGTCTGTACCCTCATACCAAAAACAATGAATTCATCGTTTTTAACGAACGAAAACATGATGCGAATCTTATTATGGTATCGAACAATGTTCTAGAAATAAGAGTCTCATGTAGTGTTTGTTATGCAATTATTCTTTAAATTGAGAATTCCATCGCTATAACGTAGATAAGGTTTTACTAGCAACGAAGTCTTTTATATAGAAAACTAAATCGAATTTGTCGTCTTATATCTTTTTTTAATGCAGCAAGATCTTAAATATTTTATAAATACGCTTTCATCAAGGACCATATCAAAAGCTACGTCCACAAATTCATACAACTACACGTCACCATACCCGCATCCATACTTAAGATTGACTATATCAAAGTTCTGATCGTATAAAAATGATTTGGATAAGGTTAACTGAACAAGTTGTTTATTCACATGATCATGAACAATGTTTTTGTTGGTCTACCGGAGTAAAAAAAATCTTGTTTCTTCGTTTTGAATAATTTTCTTTCTGTTTATATTATTGATGAAATTGGTTTTGATTTTTAAAGGCAGGCAAAAAAAGATTTTTTTGAAACTCGAACCTCATTTACTTACTGATCTTTGAATGCAGTAGGTTAATTTTATATTATATTAAAAATAATCAGACTAACATAATCATTTATTTGAAAGATTCAAAATATTCGTTTACTAATTCGTGTTTTTTTTCAATTCTTGCAAAATAACATTAGGCAAAAGAGTCAATGTTGTAACATTTTCAGATGCTTTCTTCATAAGGACATGAGAATCGCGAAAGCTAGAAATTCACACCCTCTTTGCAGACCATTATAGATATTGCTCATATACAATCAAAGACTGCATATCAATTAAATATTGTTATAAGTCCACTAAAAAAACGAGTGGTACAATACTTGCAGGAAAAGTTTCAATTGAATCGAATATAGATTATCTGAATAATAGGAACGATTTAAAGATTTTTTTGCGTAAAAACTGAGTTTCCAAGAACCTTCGACCAAGAGAGAAAAACGTTGAATCTTTACAATTATTATGTTTTTAGTTGTTTCCATCGTTTTTTAAATCTGTTAATGCTCAATCCAATAAACTAATTCAAAAACATCGTTCAATTCATTCATTACATGATGATAATTAAAGAAGTTTATACAAATATAAGTTTGTCATTGAAAACTGATATTAAACGTATATGTCAAACATCTGTACAAGAATGTTTTAGACATTTAGATCTTGTTTATGATGAAATCAAAAACAAAAATGAATCAAACAACACATCAACATAGACTTAATCCATAATTAAGATTTTTAATTATATTAAGAGAATATTTAGCTGAATGTGATTATTCTTATCATAAAAATAGAAGTATTTTACCTATGTTCAGGTAAAACAAAAAAAGAACCAATAATTGAATAAAGAATATTTTTTATTTTTCAAAGGCATTTCGTGGTCGAGCAGTAAATAGTAATTGTACGTTTAAATANNCCTGCTTTAGACTTAATAGCTGTTCGGGAAAATGAACCTGTCGCTGGATAGGCACCAAAAAATGGTCCAAATATATTTGTTATTCCGATGGCAATCAATTCTTGATTAGGATCAATAACATAATTATTGATTCGACCAAATGATTTAGCTATAGCAACATGTTCAATGAGAAGAACAATTACTGTCGATGGTAGATACGATGCAAAAGCACTCAATAATCGTCGATCAATATAGGGTATACCCATATTTTGAAAGCCGCGTGGAACTGTGCCAAGTAGAGCCGTTCGTGGATGTTGAGGATCATTTCGATTGATTAACCACGAAATGAGAAGATAGAGAAGAATAACAAATACAGCACGAAGTGTGCTGATAAAAAAAAATAATTTTTCTTTCGTCGGAAAACGTTTACTTGCACGAAGACAAACAAAACGAATTAAATAAAGTAGAAAGAGTGATGTTAAGCCGAGTGCAGCATTTAAATTACAATGTGAAATTTGCTTCCAAAAATTATAAAAAACTAAATAGGTCGATTCACGTGTATCCAAATATTTATTATTACCCAATAGTGTTGGTATTTGTCCCATAGCAATATTCAATGCTGATCCAGTCATAAATGCTGCTAAAGCTGGTAGAGGAATGAAATCGACTATAAAGCCGAGACGAAACATGCCTAGAGCAAAAACAATACAACCAGCAATGAGAGATAGAGCCGATGCGATGGTATGTAATTCATATTCCGGATATTCTTTATGTACAGCTTCTATCACATTACCGGTTAATGCTGACATAACTGCCACAGGTCCAATACTAATATCCTGCAAGCAAACAAAATCATTTTGAAAAAAGAAAATTAAATAAAATCAAGCGTTCATTGATGCTGTATTAAAAGATTATGATACTATTCAATTTTATATATCGAAAAATATGTGATCTATGAGAACCTAATGTTGTATTTAGTATATTACTTTCTTATTATTATCAATGATATAAGTCCGTCTAACTTAGAATATAATTTTCTGCTATTAACGAAATATTTAATAATGAATCTTGCATTATATTGAGATTAATGAAATAGAGAAGTGTACTGATACCATAAAAATTGACTGAAAAATCAGAAACTGAACTTTTAATCAACTCTTTTTATAATTAATGCTATATTAATTGGTAGAAATATATTGATTCTTTCTCAGAAAAGAAAAAATATCTAACCTAAATTATATATAAATCGAGTTATAAAACAAATACTAGAAGTATTTTTGTTTTTTAAGGAGAATTAGAACATTTGACTCAATCTTATTTACTTTGCTAGTAGCAAAAAGCCAATAAATCATCACTCCAACAAATGAACTATACAAGCCAAATTGTGGTGTTAATTTTGCCAATCCAGCATAAGCCATACTTTGTGGTATCACAATAGCACCAACAGTCAAACCGGCAATAAGATCACCCCAAAACCAAGTTAAATTGTAACGATAAATCCAATTGATAAATGGTAAATAGGAGAGAAAATAATTCTTGATTCGTTGTTTAGGATTATTTATTTGACTTTTCAGCCAACTTTTAACAGTCGGATATGATTCAAAATATTCATGATGAGTAACAGTTTTGATTCGACTTGATGACAATGATGAAAATGCCGTTGATGATACTTCAGTAAGCGTCATTTCGTCTTGTGCATGTCCTACCATAACTCAAGTTGTCTTTTGATATCCCAATGCACGAACACAGTCGACACAAATAAACGAAGAGAAAAAAATATTTTACCTTGTTCGATAGCAACTGAGAAACGAAGCTTCACAAATGTCTCATATACGAGAACAAACCATTCGTTGGATTAGGTGTGAAAATCTCGATGAAAACAAATGTGACAGTATGAATCATTATTTATTTTGACTTTAGGTGAAACAGTATGCAGGTAATAATATACATTACATCAAATGAATAGAAAGTAAAATATGTTGTAATTGTTTGTCTCCTTGCATTTTTTATTGCTATTCAAACTCAAGTATATTTTTTTTTATTCAGTCAAGCGAGACGAAATTCTCTCTATGTTACAATTCAAGTATTGTACATACATTTATTTTAGGAAATTGGAAAATAATGGCACTTGACTATTCCAGGGAAAGAATGGATGACATAAAGTCGAGTCTATTTGATGAAGTATTCTATTTTTATTATGGATTATTAGAGCTGATCATTTCTTATTAACAATGTCGATTACTACAATAGAAGACAAATAAAGATATGCATGCAATTTTGAATATCACTTTTTATTTCTAATAGAGCTCCGATATGTTTTCTGTTGAACGTTATTTTAAAGTTGAATCGTAATTATTTGGTATTCTTTTATAAATCCGACTTTAAAGTTGTGCAATAGAAAAATAACTCGTGTGAGATTATTCCACAACAAATCGAAAATAGTAAATTTTGAATGAAATCATTATTGATCATCGGCTAACTATCATTAGGAGATAAAGGAATTGTTCCTCATTTTTTTTTTGATACACTGTATTTGGTCAGACTGAAAAATTTTTCATGTTTAGTAAGTAAATTAATCTAAAACAGATTGATCTAGCTCGTGAAGAAAAGAAAAAACAAATTCAAACACTTTCTACTTTCAACCCTTGGTTTTTAGTAAAAGAAATGTAGAATTAATTTTGGTCGATGCACTTTGTATTTTTTATTTAAATATAAACACTTATCAGACTTTTGGATTACATTTTAATTAAGTTGTTTTTCTTTGATGTGTCTCTTTCATAATTGCCTTTATCTTTGTCATTATCTACCAAATGTTCTCATAGAAAAATTTGTTCTCTATAATTTAATGATTTTTTAGTACCAACAACTTTGTGTATAACTATATAATGATAATGTTAGTTCTTCAATGAGCAGCGTTGGATGTTCAATGACGACAATTTATTAAATTAAACGAAGTTAATTTTGTAAAATTGCTTCATTAAAGGACATTTCTGTCGAAAAATTTGATAATTATCGAATTTTAGGTCAAACAAGCAAAACATTGATCACTATCCTAAACAACAACAGTTTTCACTAGAAATCTTGTCGTAAAAATCGAATCATATTATTATTATTTGTATTGATTGATGAAATGATTTTCAACTATAAATTTTGTCGATTGTTCAGGAGTTCACTTAATTGTTTGATTTAAAATGAGTAGTACTTTCTTGTTGTTTGTCGCTCGAGATCAATATGAAAAAAGTAGTTGCGATCACAATTATGAACTGTCAAGGCACGACAATGAATAGCTTATAATTTTCTTTGAACAGTGCGGTTCGTTTAAGTTTATAGTCGTGGTCAAAATATATATATTTTAGACTTGACAAGTATATAAAAATATATTCCGCAAGAGAATGATATTAATATGTGTTTTAGAATAATCTCTATATCAAGGCTGTACATGAGCCAAATATATTAGGTCTTTTATTGTCTGGATGAAAACAATGTCCATCACTAGTGAACAACGTGACGGCAAAATGTTTCTGCACAGGTATAAACGTAAAGTGAAAAGGTTATCTGTACTCCGTAGAATATTGTAATTTACATAAAACGACTAAAGCTCGTACTCTACCACTACTACTCCATAACGAGATGATACTATGACTTATAGATCTGATAGAACTCCATTTACTTTAATTCTAGAAAATTAAAAGATTTCAATGAGATAAATGAATACATTCCATTCAATCATAAATAAAATGTGCTATTATGGCTATCAGTCTTTTGTTCGCACTAAAGGATGAATATGTTACTTGTTGAATCAATATTTTATGATCGTCAAAACTAAAGATACATCTTAAATCACTATTGGTTTAAGGTGCAATCGACAACGTTTTTCGATTATGTGCACGAACTTCTTTCTCTCAAGTCAATGTAGTGACTTATATATAAATTTATTGATAGGTAAATGGAACATGATATACTGTCATAAATTTGAATGTCATTATTCGATATACAATAATAGCTTATGCACTGCTTTTTATTATCTTCCCCTTTATCATATACTGATTGAAATGAATATATTTCTTTCATTTCATATAATAGAAGCATGTAAACAAAATCAACGATTATAAACACATCTATTTAGTTCAGGCACGCACAAGTATCTATTACATCT